TAATGTGGTTAAAAACCGAATTAATGTGCTTAGTGTGGCCGCGCACAATCGAATTTATACAATCTGTTTCAATTATCTAAATTCGAATTAATCTCGTAGTGTAGACGTACCCACAGTCTCGGTGCTCTGAACTGCTCTGAATGAAGCTCAGCCAGGACTCTGGTGCAGTGTCTCTCTCCCAGGGCTGTAACAAGGGCGAGGCGAGTGAGGCACTTGCCTCGGGCACACAAAGTCGGGAGGGCGCAGAAAGTGGTGGAGAGAAAAAAAAAGCTGCTGGTAGGCTCAGAGATAGTTACAACCCAGGTGATCTCCGCCCGGGCCCCACCTGCCGCGCCCCGCGCCTCCCCTGAGTGTCCCCGGACCCCGACTTGCTTCCCCCCCGCCCTTCCTGGCCTGGAGCAGAGCAGCTCCATGCAACAACTGCTGCCGCAGGGTCCTAGTGCCCCCCTCTCCCCTCCCAGGGCAGACTGACTTTGAGCCTGCCCTTCCCCCTCAGACCCTTCCTTTTCCGGCAGGACCCTCCAGCAGCACAGGGGGGCCCCCCCGCCCGCGGTCACCGCTCCTGCCCCATGCTGGGCAAGGAGGCAGCCCCATCCCTCACCCCCAGTGAGGCAACAGTCAGGGGCAACAGCAGGGGAGGAGGCGCACGCAGCACCGGCACCCACCACGGGGAAGGTGAGGGAGATTCCTGGACCTGAGAGGGGCCCTAGGAGCACATGCAGTGACAGTGGTGGGGGTGAGTGTGCTGCTGGGGGAGCAGGAAAGAGGGGCTCCTCCCCCAGAGCTTGCTGCTGCCAGCAGGAAAGGGCTGGGGGGAGTCCTCCTCTCTGGCCCCTGTCCCGGAGCAGCCTGTCTGCACCCCAAACTCATCCCCAGCCCTGCCCCACCCCAGAGCCCACACCCCCAGCCAGAGCTTTCACCCCCCACCGCACCCTCAACCCTCTGCCCGAGCCCCTCCAGCACCCCAAACACCTCATCCCCAGTCCCAGCCAGAGCCCTCACCCCCCACACTCCAACCCTCTGCCCCAGCCCTGAGCCTCTCCCACACCCCAAACCTCCCATTCCCAGCCAGAGCCCTCACCCCCCACACTCCTACTCTCGCCCTGAGCCCCTCCCACACCCCAAACCTCCCATTCACAGACAGAGCCCTCACTCCTACTCTCGCCCTGAGCCCCTCCCAGACTCCAAACCCCTCATCTGCAGCCACAACCCACTGCCCTCACCCCTGCACCCCATCCCTCTGCACCCCTCCCATCCCCAAACTCCCTCCCAGAGCCTGCACCCCAATCTCCTGCCTCAGCCTAGGGCCTGCACCCCAGACCTCCTCCCTCACCCAAACTCCCTCCCAGAGCCTTGGGTGGGTGGGGGGCCAGAGTTTGGGTACGGGTGGGTTCTGGGCACCACCAAAATTTCTACAAACCTGCCACCCCTGATCCTGCCCTGCAAACCTGAAGGCCCAGCATTCTCAGGACACATGCTGATCCCTAGTGGCCACTGCTGATATCCAGCACCTCCCTCCTCTCTTAACCTGTGAGTCCCTCTCTGGATTGGAACTGGACTGGAACCAAAGACCATCTTGGAAGCAACATTACCAGCCCAAGCAGTCAAAAATCATGAGTTAGACCCCCCCAAAATCACAGGCTCTACCGCCGCCACTTCATTCATTCTTCGGCGGCAGGCCCTTCCCTCCAAGAGGGACCGAGGGACCCACGGCCGAATTGCCGGCCCTGGGGGAGGGCGCAATTTTATATTCTTACCTCGGGCGCAAAAATACCTAGTTACGGCTCTGGTCTCTCCTCAGGACACACTTTCACCAGGGCAAGAAGCCTGCTCGGCTTTGGCGCTTCCTGGGTCCTACCTTGGAGCATTCAGCCCCCTGTTCACACCATGGCTCCCCTCGAGTCCACCTAGATGGAACACCTGGAGAAGCCTTATATGCCCCCAATGGGCCATGCACCCCAATTTCACAGTCAGAAGTGATTCTCAGCCAGCGTTGTAAAACAGAAGTCTTATTAGTCGTTGGGAATACAGCGTGGAACAGATCTTGTTAGCATAGAAATCAGGAATGTTCAGTAAAATCCATCTTGGGGAGAGGGAAATAATCCAAAGCCCAAGGCCCTGGTCCTCCCCTCTGAGTCCCAAACCAGGAAGCTGACCCGCTTCCAGCAGCCCAACTTCAGACCTGCCCATTGCCCCTCCTCCATCCTTTGTCTCTCTCTCCCGGGCAAACAGGTCACCTGGTCTGCACCAACACCTCCGGCTGTATCCATTTCACTGCAACCTGAGCAGACATTCCCCCCAGTGCAAATCACTGCTATTCTCAGTCGATAGCATTTTATCCCATTTCCCCTGGTGCAAATGACTGGGCAAAGTGCAGGGCAAACGGGGCGTCAGGCCCAAGGAGCTGGGGCCCAATCCTGTCAGGTGCTGAGTGCCAGCAGCTCCTGCAGTGGTGCTCAGCACTTGGCAGGAGGCGCTCCTCAGCCCCGCTCAGGATCAGGCCTTCTATCTGTTGCTGTCATGAGTTTTAGGCCCTGGGTGCGGGAACCATGTTAGCACCTTGCCATTGAGAGCTTTGGTCTAGCACACTTCCCTAGAGTGCTGCTAGCACAGCTTCCTTGGCCAGAGGTCAATCATCGGGCCGTCCTCTGCCAGTGTAATGGGCGTACAGCTCCAAAGCTGACCCTGATCTCAACATGCACGCTGTGTGTGCAACCCCACTAACACACACCAATCGCTGTATCCTGGTTAGCAGCTGGCCCACATACGAGGATACGAGCCCACTATTACTGTCAGATGAGGGAGTTGCTCCTTTAGCTCAAATTGTAGAAGCTCATGTTTTTAGTGCTGGCAATCTGAGGTTCAAAGCCAAGCTGGCAGGGTCATTATAGGTACATACATGCACTGTATACACACCTGCTTACGTACGCATCTCAACTCAGACATAGCAGCCCTTTCTGAGCCCCTGGCACCTAATCCCCACCCACTTTCCTTCAACCCGGCTGTAGTGCATTCTCTCCTCAACAAGCTGACCTCCCAGTCTGTCCTACTCATCAGCTCGTGTTGCCCTCAATTCCCAGATGCAGAGCACAGGTCTCAATGGGAGTCTTTCAGTGACTTCAATGGGCTCTTGCTCAGGCCCATGGTAGAGAATGAGAATGTTGGCACTAGATCAGCTAGGCTGGCCTTTGTACCGGGTAAGTGATGTCAGCTGACTCACCCAGGATGCAGGCCTGGTGTCCCTCTCAAGGAGGCTCTCAAATGCCTCCTCCCCACGAATGTATCCATTGATGCCCTATGTTAACTTAGCACCGTCCACCGGTCCCCACTACAAAACCAACCCCCGCTCCACCTAGCCTGTGCTACCTGTGGATTGCAGGCACAACAAGATGTCCTGCACCCGCCTGGCCTTTACCTTGGTCAGGCAGTGAGCAGGATGTGCTGTTTGGTTCTGACGTGTCACCTGCTGTAGCTGTTCCTTAATAATACACTTGGCTGCCTTGCTTGTTAATTACCACTCCCAACCCCACCAAAAAAAGATCATTGAGCAAGGGCCCCAACTGACTGCGTGCAAACAAAGATCCAGGAGAGGGGTTTTGGTGTGGCTAGTGGATTCCATGGTGGCCTGGCACAGTGCTGCAGATTGGAGGCACCTCATTATGCCCAGAATAAACACCACAGGCCTGGGAGTTGGCAGTACAAGCTCCCCTCAGAGTGCCCCCTCCCTTCCCCACCAGATGGCCTGCAGCCTGACATGGAGGAACTCCCCTTCAGAGAGGTTCTGTGACCTGCCCACTTGGTCCCTGGCCTCTCCACAGGTGTCAGCGACATTAGAAAACCAGCAAGAGGCTCCTGCAGAAGGGTCCAGGACGTGACTGACTCAGGGCACATTCTGTGCTGTGCAGCATCACTGCTTGGGGGTACCAAGAGGACGGTCTCCAGCCAAAAATGGCCAGCAGAGGATTCTCGGGGGGGGGGGGGGGACCCCGGCAGGCATAAAGCCAGGGGAGCTGGCAGAGCGGGTTCTGCAATAGCCGCCCCTCCATCCCAGCGTAGGGGACATGCCAGGAAGGGAGACAGGTTGGGAGCAGGCTGATGATATAGTGGGGCAGAGCTCTGATATACTAATTCTCCACTGGCATAAGGTACCTCAGGGGCATAAGTCAAAGTGCCCCCCAGAGCTGCTGAATCAGGAAACTGTAACTGTCTCCCTTACAGGGCCTCTCTGAGCAAAGCTGGAATGCAGGAGAGAACGGAGCCCGTGGTGTACAAAAGACAGTCTCCTGTGTGCCACCTAACCACCCAGAGAGCATGTGCATGCCCTGCCCACAGGGGATCCTTTGGTCACACAGCAGCTCTCTGCTCCAAGCGTGTCGGGAACCAGCTCCTTTAAAAATACATTGATCAATATTTATCTGGCTTTAATGATGGGTTTCCTTATGTAACCCTTCTGCCCATCTAGTTGGCAGCAACAAGGGCCGGGTTC